CAGGAAGGATCTTTTGGGGTTAAGTGTGCCTTGATCTTGGGTACACTTCAGGAATTTGTCATGGAAGGTGCATGTAGGCTTGCCCTGTTACAAGTCTGGGTGTAGGGGTGCATGTGTTTCATCCCAGCACCCAGGAGGCAGAGGCAGATCTCTGTGAGCTCCAGAGCCTGTCTTAAAAATAACATAAGCACCGGGCAGTGGTGGTGCATGCCTTTAATCCCAGTACTCTATAGGCAGAGGCAGGCGGATCTCTGTGAGTTTGAGACCAGCCTGGTCTACAAGAGCAAGTTCCAGGACAGCCTCCAAAGCCACAGAGAAACCCTGTCTCAACCCCCCCAAAAAAACCCAACAACACAAGCAAAAGCTGAGAGGTGGGGGGAAAGACAAGCTACATACATTATATGTAGTAAATGTATCTAAATATTTATAAAATATGTAAATTTCAACACAATCACAGAAGATATAGCAGTGACCAAAGCCTTGGGAATGGCCATCAGGCTACTGATTTTGAGTGTGAAAATTGTATCTCTAAAGAAATCTGTAAGAATGCCAAGGCATATTTGTTTAAAGACAGGGCCACTCTCTAGAGTCTGGAGAGATGGTTCAGTGGTTAAGAGTGCTTACTGCTCTTACAGATGCCCCATGTTTGGTTCCCAGCACCCACATGTCAGCTCACAACTATATATAACTCCAGTTCCAGGGGATCCAATGCCCATACATATATACACAGGCACACACACATTAAATTAATTAGATAAATACATTTTTAAAAGAGACAGGGTCTTACTATAGTAGGCATGGCTGGCCTATAATTTTCCATGTAGACCAACCTTGCCTTAACTCACAGAAATCTACTTGCCTATGCCCAAGTGCCAGGATTAAAGGTATACAACCTCATGCCTGGCTCTGACATTTCTGGTGACCCTCTTGTTTATTTATTATTTATAGTATGGCTCTGGATCTTTATGATGGCTGAGAGTATCCCCCTCCTTGAATTCATAGTAAAGCTGAGAGCTAATTAACTACAAGACACAGTAAGGAGTGATCACCAAACATGGGGTATCACTGAATACTTCTTATTTGGGGACCAACAGTTTGTGATCCAATTTCCATGTATGGCAGATGAGAATGAAGGGAGTTAGGGCTGAAGTCATAGTGACTTCATCTTGTAGGCAGCAGGAACCATAGGCAGTGGTTTTTCATTCAAGTGTATGCATCTGATTGCCAACAGAGATGACTCTGGGATAGTCGGTTGGCATGGAGACAGGGTGCTCTTGGATGCTCTTCTCAGAAGACTCCATTCATGTCAGTATCGCTGCACACCCCTCATGACCAGTGGTGGCTAAGTCTGATGCAGTGGTCGGTAAGGGCCTGAGATAGAGATGGGAGCAGATGGGAAAGAGGTGGCTTGTGGTAGACAAGCCATGCAGGTCTATAACCCATGGACTAACCACACAGTAACGCTTCTCTTGGCCTTTAAAGATCAAATTACTCGAGTCTTATTTCTCACCCAGTCTCCCGAGTTTACCTGCTGGTCTGCAAAACTTGACTCTGCTATTTTCAGAGGGAAAATAGTTCCCACTACTGTCCCCTTTTCCATGCTTCACCCACTCACCCTCCAGCCTACCTTTCCTGAATGCAAATGATCCATCCTCAGAGGCTATATTTGGAAGTCCTACTATTTAATCTCTGTGAATTGAGAAACACTTTTCAATACACCTGGATAATATCGTCATGGACGGTGTTTCATTTGGTAAGAAGCAAGAACCAAGAGTTGGGCCTTTAATCACGGAGTCTTTTAGCTACAGAGCCTGAAGAACTGCTGTAAGTCTACTGAGACCTGTCAGCAGACCCGTTCTTGGCTGCTGGCTCAGCTTACTAGCAAAGATACCTTGAGTGTCATGCTCCATTTTCCGTCTCTGGAAAAGAGCTACAGGTGTCCTTTGGGCTCTCATTATCTACTACATAATAAAAGTGGCGTATGAATTATACAACCCTACTATAATGTACTTTGGGGGCCTCAGAGTCATAAGACCAAAAAGGTCTCCTCAAATTTTTACAACTGATTAGACTTTAAATTTCTCATTCTATGAGACCCAAGAGGCAGGCTAGCCACCAGATTGTTAAATGTAAAGTTTCAACAGCTTCATAAGAGAATGACTAGGGCCCAGGACATGACTGTTGGGCATACAAACACCAAAAAGCACTACGTTCCAGTGAGTCTCTTTTACTGCATTAAAAATAGATGAGCAGACCCAGACCTCTTGTCATGTTTAAAGAAACTTTGAAGGGTCAACACTTTCCAAGAACCAGAAGAATAGACTCCCTCACAAGGGCCTCGTAAAACTCCCGTTACACATGGAAATGGTTTGGGGACAGAGCTATTCTGTAAACTGCTGCTTCTAGAGGCCAGAGGAGAGCCACAGTGAGTCCCATGATGATGTGTCACAAGAACAGTAACAACTGCTCACTACTCCACTCTCTTTATTGCTGTTCCGATGATGGAAAACCTATCCCAAACCCACAGCCTCTTGCATTTTCCCTCCTCCTGTCTCTCAGCAAGGGTGGGGTCAAGGACTGCAAAACCCGCAGAGGAAGAACCAGAAGTGGAAGGAGCCTATCTGGGTTTCCCCACCAATGCCTGCCCTGACTCTGTCTCAGCAACTTCTTCCAGCACACTGCCCTCACCTCCCCGCTCCCCAAGACAGACCTCAACCACAAGACCCACTTCCAGGATGGACTGCAGGGGCCGGGGTAAGGAGAAGTGCCAGAGAATGCTGAGGTTGATGGTCTGAGAGACTGAGTCAGCATCTTCAGAAGCAGAGTTCTTAGGAAATAGGCTTTCTCTCCCATGAAAACCCCAAGCGGAGCGGCCACCCCAAGAACCTCAGCCGGTGTGTGCAGCTCCAGAGCGGAAGCCCAGGATGACCAGGGTACTCGGAACTGGAGGAAGCCACTGCTCACCCCTGCCCAGCTGTGTCCAGAGGCCAGTCGGTCTGAGAGACAAGAAGCATGAGGTGCCCTTCCCTGCAGGAGCGTGTGTCATTAAACCCCATCTGGAACTATGCTCGCCCCAGGCCCATCTTAAATGAACAGATCCAACAGTGACCTTAAGTGTAGAAACCCCCTTCTTCAGGAAGACCTGGAGACCTTTCACGTTTCAACTAGTGTAGCTTTTCAAGTGAAAAGACGGAAGGTATAGCTGGATATATAATGAAGAGTCAAGAATGTTCTAATCAGCAATTTAAAGTAATTCGAGTTCCTCTCTGGAGGAAAGGGAGGGCAAAGGACAAGACATGAAATCATGTGCGGACACCGACGCTAACTTGGGAAAAAACTGGGAAGGAAAGGACTAACCTTAGAGTGACGAAAGCATGGATGATTTTAAACGTTGCTTTCTACCGGTCAGTACATTCTATGTTAAAAGAATAAACCTTTCGCTTTCTTGAAAAGCAGTTCTTTTGACAACACAGAGGGTGGGTGGGTGAGGGGATGGGTGAGGGGGTGCATGTGAAATAGCGAGGGAGAAAAAGGCCCCTTGATTGGTTTGCCAGATGGTTCCCATCAATCCTGCTCACCACAGAGAGCACAACCTGACCACACCCCCATCAAACATCCCACTTCCCAAGTGTTCTTTAAGGGCCGAGTCTAACTTTTGTGTGTTAGGAGGGGACACCCCATCTTAGGAAGCTAGTGAGCTGCTGTACCTTTCACCTGGTACCCCTCTGGTCTCTCAATCCATGACCCATGAAAGCCTCAAGGTCACAGGGTTAGATGGGTGAAAGGATTTTTCAGACATGTGCTTTGGCAGAACTCTACAGTGTAAGACGTTAACTCAGAACTGTAGGTTCTGGTGGCTGAATACAAAAAAGTGTGTTCACTCAGCAAACGAGTGAAAATGTCCAGTTTTCCCCTTAGAGGTCTGCACACATATCCTGTACCAACTGCCCTGTGCCTGCCCGGCTCTGCTCACTCGGGCTCCCCGTTTACGACTTCGCCTTCCAGTCTCAAAGGAAGAAGGCAGAAGCAAGCAACGCTGGTCCAGTTTTAGAGATGGAAAAACCAATGTCCAAGACAAGTGAAGTTTCTGGCTATTAAACCGTGCAGATGGATTTGCACGGGCAAATCCGCTCCCGGGCAACATGAACTGAGCAGCATTCTAGAGCAAAAACATTCCCAAGGGTTATAACCAACTCAGGACTCAAGAGGAAAACACAATAAAATACCAGTACAGCCAGTGTGTCTGCTGTGCTAAGTAGAGTGGACACTCTATCCCACCATGTGGAGTTTTTAAAACACAACCCAAAGCCAATCCTGGCCCTGCCACTCCCATGGGCACGGCTCTGAGCCCTACGGGAGCCAGTGTCCTCCTTTTGGGCCAGGCTTGTGCTGAGTATTTCATTTGGTCTTATTTCTCCCAACTCCACTCCTGCCACTCCTGAGCCCACTTTATCCATGAACCTAGAGAGTACCGTCACGTTAACACCAATGTGTCACCACTGAATCTGCACATGGATTCCACATACCTTCATCCACAACACTCATATGCCCTGCACTTTACAATTTTGACACATTTCAGTTCCACGCCCTTCAAGGTGTGTTCAAACCTGTCTCGTAGGAACTCTGTTTATAGGAAGACCCTCTCCTTTTAACATCTACACGCTTGTGCTCTCCATGTGCAACATCCCATAATGCTATGTGATCACATGTGCCCCCCCCATCTCAAACTTTACCTTCATGTCTGATCCCACCCATCGGGCGCACTATGCAGCCGAATCCTGCCAGAACTGACCGAAGCAGACTCCCTCAGACTTGATGCTATATTTCACTGAGGGCACCCACCCTATGCCACCGGCAAGCAGGGCTTGTCCTTGGTCTTCTCCTAGGAGAGCCACAGGCATGACCCTTTCTATCACCGTCCTGAAAAGGGCCAGGTCTGGGTCCACACAGCATCCAGGCCTGGGCCTGGCTCAGAGCTAAGGCGGTAGCTGGAAGCCTACCTGAGCATAGGACACCCTTGTTCCTGGCGCAGGAAAAGCTGTCACACTCGCAGAAGGGGCCGTAGATCCTCCCGAACTCACTCTCGAAGCAGGAGCACTGGTTGCAGCTGCACTCCCCACGCCCACTGCACAGAGGCTTGCCTTCTGCCTCCCGGCACAGGTTCTGGTACCCGCTCTGGTTCTCCCCCTCCTGGCACTCGCATCTGGTGCCCAGGTAACTGGGGTCACATTCACACAGCCCACAGACGTAGGTCCCGTTCCCGCTGCATCTGGCACTGCTGGGCTCCTGTCCTGTGCTACAGCCACACGTGCAGTTGTAGGTGACTTCCACCTGCAGGCTGTCCCGGAAGCCCACGGGGCGCAGGGTGAAAGATTGAGCTGTGTGTTTGCCAGGGCAGCTCCGAGCCTCCACGGACACTTCAAAGGATGCCTGGAAGGAGGAGAGAAGACATCATAGCCTAGCGAGCGAGCGAGCGAGGGCTCCCATCCCTCCGGGAGCATGGCCACATACATCCCTTACGAGTTCTGCCCTGTCCGGCACACAGGTGGAATCCTGGTAAGAAGATAGTGGCTGAACAAGCCCAGGCACTTTATGGAGGAGAGCAATTGGTTATGGTAATTTTCCACAGGAATTGCGCATGGGTTTTTAATGTCCTTTCTCATCATCTCAAAGACCCTGAGGAGAGGGGCTATGAAGAAACGCACTCTCCCCTTTGTCTCCTAGCCCATCCCCATGCCACCCCCACTGCTGTATACACCTCTCCTCCCATCACAAAGGCCATTTATTCAGCCAATATTTACTGTCTGTGCCAGGCATTGGGCTAGATGCTAGGGTTATTGGCGGCAGCACCCCTCCCCACCCCGTGCAGGGCAGAGAGTGGCCACCTGACCCACAGTGAAGAGGTTTCCCTCTCTGCTGGAGAAGAGATGGGGTGGCACACCCGGAAGTCCCTGTCATGTGTCAGCCCCAGCTCCCTGCAAGCATGGTTCTCACAGCTGTGTCTCGCCCCATCAGCACACAGTCCTAAGGCTGCAAACAATACTCCCCGCCTGAGTAGCTACCACACACAGGAGAATTAAAAAAAAAAAAAGAACCGTTTAGGGAAGAGACAGCAAGGTGGACCTAGCGGGGTGATGGGTGGCAAACACAGCTGCTCCCAAGCCTGGAGGCAAAGGGAACCAGGAGGAAGCCCGGTGATTCTTCCAGGAATTAGACCATGACGAGTAAGAGGAAGGAGCTGCGTGGGCATGGAATCACCAGTGGAACCTCACCCAGATGCACTCCTCTTCAAGCAGGCATGCCTGGCCACTCCTCCAAGTGGACCCATCTATCTGGGGCAGTGTCTTTATTTCCCAGGACTCCTCAGATCATTCCGGGGTTCAGAACGGGCTGGGCATCCCTGTAAGCCCGCTTTGGTGGGCACTTGTGATGTTCATTTGTGAGCACACGTTTGTTTCTGAGCATTATTTCCAAAAAGCCTCTTCCCAGATTCTGTGGCATCTGGGGACATTCAGGGCAGTGATACTGAGCAAAAGTGGCCTGAACCATGCTTACCAGCAAGCCACAGCCCCAGAGGTCTTGACAACAATCACCCAGGGCTCGGTATCAACCATGACACTTAACACAGAGTACTTTTACACAGGCGAGCAGAGGAAAATGCCCAGGAGCCCAGAGTCAGAAGACAGAAGGACCAAACCAGCTGCAGAAAAGCTAACCCCATCGCATTTATCCTTTAAGAGGGTGAGGAGAGGGAAGAAAAGGGAAGCAACTGAAAAGTTCAAACCTGAGGTGATCTACACAGCACTGAAATCTGTTGATGACAATGCATTGGCATAGCTCTGTGTGTGTGTGTGTGTGTGTGTGTGTGTGTGTGTGTGTGTGTGTGTGTGTGTGTGTGGTTGTGCTCACCTAGAACAGGCCTGAATTCTCCTAGCATATCACCTTCTAGAAAGGGGAACAGGGCGGATGCTCATATAAAGATCTGGGTAGAGAGAATGGCAGCCTGGCTCAAGACAGAGACAGCATGATGGTGACCCCCAAAGTAATCGTCATAGGCTTGTCCAAGGCTTTCTGCCTTGGGCTGAGAATGTGCTGAGCTTGCACACAGGCGGGGTTTGGGGGCTGAGCCTAAACAAAGTTATCTATGGGGCCATGAAGAATAAAGGGAAGCAGAGATTCTGGAGGCTGATGTCACCCCTTCCCAGTGGCTAGCGTGAAGCTGCTACTTCCTGCCACTGTTCATGGTGAATGAAGAGCTGGGGATAGGGAACTCAGTAGACTGCAGAGGAACAGCCTGCAGCAAGGGCCAAAGGCTTGCCGCCATTGACTGGTGAACACAACCATCCCCGTGCAGACCCACCTTTGCCAAGGGAGAAAGCAAGGAGGTAGGGGGAGAGAGAGAGACAGAAACAGAGACAGGCAGACAGACACTCTTCAGCCTTGCCCAAATGCACCAGGGTAAGTGGAAGTGTTGGGAGCCTGTGAGTTGAAACCAGGACATAGAAATTTGCACTGTGTGCCCAACTGAGAAGTCAAGAGGGTTTGGCTCCCCAGCAAGGTCCCAGGGCATCCTTGGTCAAGGCTGCCTGGCCAGCAGACGGCTGTCTGATAACCAGGGAGAAGCACTGTCTGTTTCAGCCATGGGTCTTGGCTCCTGCTAGACACAGGAATGCTTATAAAAACATGGCCGGGAGGTCAGGCACACACCTTTAATCCCAGCACTTGGGAGGCAGAGGCAGGTGGATCTCTGTGAGTCTGAGGCCAGCCTGATCTACATAGCAAGTTCCAGGACAGGCGCCAAAGCTACAGAGAAACCCTGTCTTGAACCCCCCCTCAAAAAAAGCATAGTCAGGAACAGCAAGCAGGTCTATTTTGCTCACTGGTCCTTACAGCTCAGTTTGAACCCAGAGAGGCTAAAAGTTCCTGGAATATAACTTCTTGGCTTCCCATCTTTGGTAACCAACGTCTCAGGACAAGCATGATACTGAGGGCTCCCCAGGTCTTGACTCAGTCTAGAGGAAGGTCACAGATGCGGCAGCCATCCCGGCCAGACCGGTGACTTAACCTTATTGGGATGTTCCTGGCTCTCCAATGGGAAAGCCTACCTTCTCAAAAGGGTTGCCCAAACCCTACCAAGCCCCCACAACCCCAGGCTTCTGCAGATGCCAAGTCCACTCAGATCTTAATGAAACTAAAAGCTGAGGTGGGCCCCAAGTACAGGGCCTCAAGGAATGGACAAGAGCAGGGGGTTATGGGGATATGCAGTGAGAAGGCTCCCCAGTGAGAAGTGGCTCACTGGGACCTTGGTCGGGTGGTAATGCTGGCTGGACAGGCAGTCACTTGCACACTGATTTGTCAAAGCCACTTCCTAAGAACACCACTCCCAGGGTGTAGGTCAACTCAGTCAGGCTTGTTGGTGAATGAACAGGGACCACCTAAGAACTTAGGTGAGATACCCAAAAAGACAAATTAATTAATTAATCAACTAATTAGATTAAGTGTGTATATGTGTGTTTGTGTGTGTATACATGTGAGGCAGGTTTCTTCAGAGGCCAAAAAAATGGTACTGGATGCCTGGGAGCAGGAGCTATGGGCAGTTGTAAGCCAACCAACATAGGTGACTAGGGACTGAACTTGGGTCCTCTACATGAGAAATATGTTCCTTAATCCATCTTTCTAGCTCCTTAAACAACAACAACAATAATAATAATAGTTATTGTTATTATTTTATTTTCCAAGACAGGGTTTCTCTATGTAACAGCCCTAGCTGTCCTGGAACTTATTTTGTAGGCTGGCCTTGAACTCACAGAGATCTACCCACCACTGCCTCCTGAGTGCTAAGATCAAAGGTGTGCATCACCGCACCCAGCTGCCCCTTAAAGTTCTTAATTTTGAGACTTCACATTTCATTGCACCAGACTTGCACACTCCAGAAGACCTTCCCTCATTTTCTGCGTGACCCTAGTGGACACTGACACACCCAGCTCAGAAAAAGAGCGGCTCTGTGCAGCCATCTATACCCAGACAACAAAAACCACACAGCTCTTGCCAGAGGGACCATGTGACTGTGGTCCTTGGACGGCGAGACAACACTGGGCAGAGAGAAGACAAAGGGCCCGTGGGGGCTTGCCTGGGGACCTGCTGCTATTTCCATAGGGCTATGGCCACTGGATCCCAAAGAAAGATGGGCCAAAGGCCACCAGTTTGGTGAAAATGCTGTCTTTATATTACTATTTCAAATGCTCTGAAAAATCACCTTATTACAAGCGAGATTTCTCAGTGTTGAGAAAAATTTCCATTTAATCTCTCTTTTCTGATTTCTGGACAACATCTGAGCTCTCCCGGGCAAACAAATGAGAGCTGCAGACTAGTGAGTGATTGGAGTGTGACAATGATCCACCCATGCCTCTGAATCTTTTACTCCACCGTGCCTGAGGCCTATGAGGAGGCCAGGGCTGTGGCATCACTATGACTTGGGTCCCGCTGCCTGCTGCTCACTGGCAGTAAGACCTGGGAACAGTTTCTCAGGCCCCTCTTTGAGCCTCAGATTTTTACACATTAACATGGAGAAATATAGCTAACAGGAAAGCTGCTACAAGAGACAGAAATCAGGGGCTGGCTAGGTGACTCAGGCCTCAGCCTGAGGACCCGAGTTCCATTCTTGAGACCTACACAGGGGAAGAGAACCCAATCTTGCAAGTTGTCTTCTGACCGCTACATGCAACACACATAAAATAGATAAACGTTTAAAAGACTGTGATTGGTAAGATGACTGGGTCTGGGTGGAAATACCTTGGTCTGGGTTGGGAGTCCACTGTTTATATAAGGGAGCTGTGTGAGCTTGGGCAGCTCATTCCCATCCTCAGGCTGCCCATCAGCAATAAGGTGTTGTGTGCCCGCCACGATGATGGCTGGCTATGTGACAAGGACGCCGAGAGACTGCTCTCAGCTGAAGGCCCCGTCCATCACCACACTCTGTCCTGACTCTTGCCCTTTGAAGTGCATATGGCAGAATGGGTCATGGGCATAAGGGTGGCGTGGGGTGCGGGCTACAGAACAGAAAGCCTTAGCTTTGCACTTTCATTTCACTAATTCTATGTTAGATTCCCTAACAAGAGCAGCAATGTCTTCCTCAGAGGAAACTAAGAGAGGAACACAGAAGCGTTCACTGTCCTGTCTGTTTCCTGCCCATTGTAGGGTGAAATGTGTTTTCTCTGTATTCCACAAGGGACCCCAAACGGGTGATCCTCGCGATTTCCTGCTTGCTTAAGACAGTATGAATGGACTTCAGATCCATGCTGACTCATGGTAGCATTTTAAACAAGCACAATTTTGCTGTGTTTAGTCAATTCATAGTGACATCTGCTTGTCACTTTCCCCACTCCACCATAAGCTACAAGCCGTATGACCTGAAGAGCGCTACCATACCTCTGGGACTCCAAAGATCTTCCCTTAACACAGACCCAATTAGCAAGCTATTAAACATTTTACAATACATTTCTTTATTTTGGTGGGGTAAGGAGCCTGGTGGGGGAGCACATGTGGCATGGCACACATGTGTAGGGCAGAAAACAATGTGTAGAGTGGGTTCTCTCCTTCCACAGGTCACTCCAGGGACAGAATTCAAGTGGTTTATCAGGCGTGGCAACAAGCGCTTTGACCCTCTGAGCCATCTTGCTGACCCTTAGTGTGCCATTTGTTTTTTAGAAAGAGTCTCACTATGTGGCCCAGGCTAGCCCAGAACTCACTGTGCACAAGAGACCCTATCTTAAAAAAGAAAATGAAAGGGCTGGAGAGATGGCTCAGAGGTTAAGAGCACTGGCTGCTCTTCCAGAGTCCCAAGTTCAATTCCCAGCAACCACATGGTGGCTTACAACCATCTGTAATGAGATCTGGTCTTCTGGCCTGTGGACATACATGTAGACAGAATACTGCATACATAATAAATAAATAAATAAATCTTAAAAAAAAAAGAAAAAAGAAAATGAAAAATACTATCAGACCACATTCCCTCTGTCCTATTAATACTCTAAACTAAATATAAGATACTCATTATAATTAACTGACTGACGATCTTTAAATCTTAGCTTTCCTGTTTTATAAGATAAGCTGTTTGCTCCAGCTCTGTGGCCTTGCCACATCTGATAAGCGGCAATGGTAAATAAACACAGCAATCTCTGTCCCAAGCCTCAGTCAAACCATCCCTTCTAGAAAGCATGTTTCCTCAGCTACAGATCTGATTGCTGCTGATACCAAGTGACACTGCCCCACACATCCGGTGCAGAGACCTACAGAAGTCACTCACACCTTCTTTTCCTGCCTACTGTCTGTCTTGTTCTGTTCTTACGTTTGCTATTAAATTTAGGCATGGGGTGTACATGCCATGGCACATGTGTGGAGGTCTGAGGAGTGGGAGTAAGTTCTTTCCTTCTACTGTGTGGGTTCCAGGGATCAAACTAGGGTCATTACCAGGCGTGGCAGCAAGCCCGAACCATCTCATCAGCTCCTACTACTGTCTCTTAAACCCCATGACATCAACAAGACCTGTGTTTTTTCTTAATTCATTTTGACTAAGAACTCACTATCATTTATCTAAACAATATAAATACAACTTTTGACAATTATTCCAGTTTTATTTAAAGAGGCTCTTCAGTGGTTGAAGAACACTTGATAATCTGTATACTAATATGACTTATTGCTGAAGATAGGGATTATCATCATTTCTACTTTGTCCACAGAAATTTAAGCACAAAAAACATATTGCATAAATAGGAAGATGGAGTGGGAGTTTAGTGATAAACACATCATTTTTTTGTTCTTTGAATGACTTCTGAGTTAATTATCATAAAGAACTATTTGTAATGACTCTCCTGACAAGTTGACCTTTTCAAGTTGGTAAAAGTGAAATGTAAACTGGCCTGTAGTGGTGCATGCCTTTAATCCCAGCACTTGGGAGGCAGAGGCAGGCGGATCTCAGTGAGTTCAAGGCCAGCCTGGTCTACAAAGTGAGTTCCAGGACAGCCAGAACTGATACACAGAGTAACCCATCTCAAAAAACAAACAAATAAACAAACAAAAACAAAGACAAAAAAACAAAAAGAAAAAGAAAAATAATCTGTCTGAGAGAAGGATTTGCTTCCTAATCATTAGGGCCCCTTGCCTTCTTTGGTGATCAGGCACCACTGTACCACTGTAGGATTGTCAAAAGGTGGGATGCAAAAATGTAAAGATGTGTTGCTGGTTTACCTTGCCTGCCTAAGGCACATGATAGGTCTAGTGAAAATCTAATGGTTATTATCGAGGGAGGAGGTATAGGCAGGACTTCCAGGCAGGGAGAGTAAGCAGAAGGAATTTAGGCTTGGGGAAGAAAGAAACAGAGACCCTGGGAGACAACAAAGACCAGACAGACAGACAGACATAAAGGAAGCAGGAAAGTAGGACATACAGAATGAAAGAAGGGTAAAAAGCCACAAGGCAAAATGTAGATGAATAGAAACAAGTTAAACTAAGTGAAATGAGCTAGTAGGACAAGGCTAAGCTAAGGCCAACCATTCATAATTAGTAAGTCTCTGTGTTTTTTATTTGGGAGCTGGTTGGAGATCCAAAGAAAATTCCAACTACAGAGAAGAGACTAGATAGACTGTCCTGGCTAGATGTATGCAGATATTCCCAGGTCTTCCTGAGACTGGGGGAGCTGACTTATGGCCATGTTGACCTGCATTAGTGTCCAGAAGATACTGTTGTTTTTACCCAGGCCCTCTGAAGTATGCAAGGAAGCTTTCTCTCACTCTATGTTCTGAGGAAAGGAAGGGGCCTGGAGAGATGGCTCAGTGATTAAGAGAAAAGATGAGGAATGGAAGCCATGTCTCCTAGATTCCTGTCTACACGCTTCCACCTGACTGCATCTCTGTCAAGCTAAAACAACAGTGACTAAAGCTCCAAGGACTCAATCAGTGTCACTGAGGAAACCTCAGGTGGCAGTGCACCCAGGGGTCTATGGATTGGAGTTCTGGCACACAAAACACACAGCAGCCTTTGGAGGGATGCTGAACCCAAGGCAGAGCACAAGCTTCTAGAAGACTCCACGAAGTTACAAAATTTATCAGAGAATAATTATGCAGGAGAAAAAGGACTCATATAAACTAGGGGTGACCACTTACCGTGTCCCCAATCTTCAGACCCTCACACTTCCTCTGACCAGGGTAGGAGATACCATCTTGGCAGGTCGCAGTGAAGAAGAGATTAAGGTCTTCCGGCTGATCCCAGACTGACAGCTCCACTTTAGACCGGATGCTCTGAACAAAGGGAGAAAATGAAGCCCACAGCACTTAGTAACAGCTGCTGCAGTGAGGCCCTCTCCACAGTGGCTTTCTCACGTCACATGGTTTCCTCTAACTCAGAAGGCTCAAGCCAAGTTAAGAGATAGGAGGCTTCACATATATTATCTTGGTAGACATGGCTTGTGGCCTCCCTGTGTGAGCTTGGAGTGATTGATAATGGTCCATCTGTCAAACGACACTGTCTCCCTCAAAAGATTTTTCGCTCTGCCTCCTGTCTGCCCCATCAGAGTCACCTCTCATCTCTACCCTTGACTTTAGGTACTCGGTTACTGAAATCTAGTCATGTGCTCTCTGGGTTTTGGGTTTATACATGCACACACAGGCATGCCCACACACTCAGGACAACAGCCCAGTGTCGCTTCTCTGTGGACTAGCTTCCCAAGACATCAAGTGAAACAAAAACTAAGGAAAAACGACATGTCAAAGCAGGAGGAAAGAAGGGGGGAGGGAGAGAAGGAGGAAGGAAGGAAGGAAGGAAAGAAGGAAGGAAAGAAGGAAAGAAAGAAGTAAGGAAGGGTGAAAGTAGCATGTGCTAGGCTGGGCCGGGGAGGAGCTGGGGTCCTCAAGCTCCTGGTTGGAGTGGAAGCTGGTGCAGGCTTTTGGAAAAGCAATAGGTAACTCAGGCTGCTCTTAGTCCTAGCTTCCCCTAAGGATTGTGCACAACAGAAATGTGCAGGTCAGAGAGGCAACAGCAAGAATATCGACAGCAACTTAAGGGCAAGACTCTGGAAACCAATCAAAGCTTACGAGTGTCAGAACAGACTAAAGCAGACCTCAGCATATCCATATCGCAGAGCACCTAGAATAGTGACAATGAATCAAACACAACTGTGTGAAATGACACTGAAGTATATAATGTTGCTGAAAAGAAGCCAGACACGCTATATTTATTCTCTCATAAAGATATTCTGGTCCACGGAAGACCATATATAATGGTGGCCCCATGAGATTATGGGATCTGGAAACGTCCCATCACTTAGTGTTGTTAATCTATCTTTTGTCTGTTCAGGGACACAATGGCTACCACTGTTAAAACTGCCTGCAGTAATCAGTATGTGTCATTCTTACAGGTTTGTAGCCCAGGAGTGAAAGGCAACAGCAGATAGTCGAGACATGTGGTACATTACACCATCTAGGTTTACATGCCATATACTCTTTGTTTGTACAAAGCTGAACCTGTCTGAGGATGTGTCTCTCAGAATGTATCCTTGCTACTGACAAACTGTTGAGTGTGAAAACCAGCCACAGGCAGAACCAATGGTTACCCTTGGGAAACAGTGATAGAAGGAGGCCGACAAGGAACTTCCCAGTGCTGGCAATGTCGTTCTGTGGCTGTGTTTTCTCGTATATTTTTGTTTCTGAAACATGGTCTTATTGTGTAGTCTAGACTGGCCGTGAACTCTGCAATGCTCTTGCCTCGAGCTCCCAAGGGCTGAAATTACAGCCACGAGTCAACATGCCCAGCTATGATCTGGTCTTTTACCTGGGTGTCAGATAACCACGTATATTGAGTTTATACAAGGTTTGTGGAATGCTTTATATGCCTCTTGGTTTTTATAATGCTCCCATAACCGGTAGGGAACGTGCTATTGCTGTTCTGCTAAATGATCATGCTGCCACACCGCCTTCCAAGTGTTTATGCTCATATCCGTAAATAAGCGCTGCCTCAAACTTGGCCAGAGAAGCTCCTTCTGCAGAAGGCAACAGAGGGACACAGAGGCTCATGGCTGTTCAGGGTGCTGAGAATTACTGACGGCGAGTGACCAGCCCTAAGCGGGGCATGTGTATCACCCTTTTGCCCCCTCAAGGCCCAGGGAATGTCACAGGGGAGGGAACAGAAAGGATGTAAGAGCCAGAGGATGGGGAAGAGTGTTGTGACCTGTTGTCTTCTGAACAGGACATGGCCATGGCACCCATGAGGCTGGGGCAACTGTGGTTATCTGCACAAAACCAAGCAAACCTAATTCTGGCATAAATGGAGGAGAGGTTCAGGAGAGCCTACCCTTAACTGAGGAGCTTTTAGCAGGAGATGCTACAGGGCTAGGACCAAACAGAAAAAGATCAAAATATATTATATACATGTATGGAATATCAAAGAATAATAACTTTAAGAGTACACACACACACACACACACACACAGCCCTTTAAAAAAATTCTCCAAGTGTGATGTCGCACACCTTTAATCCCAGCACTTAGGAGAGAGAGGTAGGTGGATCTCCATGAGCTGGAGCCAGCCTGGTCTCCAGAGCTACATAATGAAACTCTGTCTCAAAAGTCTCTGTGAAAGAAACTGAGGCCAGATGATGTAAGTGGCTTTCTTTAGAAGTCTTACCTTATCAGGCATTTAAGATAAAGAGTCTGTTTATAATACAGACAGCAGGACTCACTTAACTCTGAGAGGCACACAGCCAAGCTGCCCCATGAACAGCAAGCCAAAATGTTTTCCCACCCTATCCCCCACCCCGTCCTTGCTAACTCCGGAATGTGGTGCTAAGCTTGAATACATGAAATATGCAGTTTCCCCACCAAATGCACAGCTTGCTGAAAACACTCCACAAAAACTCGTCTCTCTCTGCAACAAACTGTCAAAGCGCTTCTACAACTCTAAAAATACCATCTCTCTAAAAGCTACTTCCTCTTCAAAGTGCCATTCCTTAATTGGCCAAAGGTCACAGAAGTGCTACTCGATACACCACCCTCTTCCACCAAATGGGACCAGTTATTTACAAATCTGCCTTCCCATTGTACTGTGAACCTTCTCTCTCCAGGCCGTGGCACAGGGTCTGGCTGAATGAATAGATGGACAGGAAGTATAGATGTTTGTAACAACAGTTATATTCAGGAACGTGGGCCAGATACAGACTAAATCTTTGAAGAAAAGACAGTAGGAATGGAGGGGTGGATCTGTGCTTAAAGAGTACTGACTGTTGTCCCAGAGGAAGAGTCCCCAGCAGCCACATCAGGTACCTCAAAACTGTGACTCCAGCTCCAGGGAATCTCACCCCTCTTCTGGCCTCCATGGGCATCACACATACATTTACACGAAGACACCCATACACAAAGGGGAAACACACACACACACACACACACACACACACACACACACACACACACACACACACTATATTTGTATTTATAAAAAGCAGGGAGAGGGGGGATGGGAAGGTACATCAATGGTTAAGAGTACTGGCTGCTCTTCCAGAGGGTCAGGTAAAATAGCTATGTATTTTACTGGTGCATGCTGGCCTCCAGGCTTCCTTGCTATCAAAAACACCTGGGCTCTTGTCACCCCTCCCCCAGCCTAAACTTCTCCAGCTTCTCATCCCCATAAAGCCCTTACATTTTGGCATCTCTCTTGCTACCCCCCCCTTTGTCTTCCTCTCTCTCTTGCCTCTCCCCTGCCCCCATCTCCTCTCAGAGCCTGGTCTAGTCTGCTGGCCATGTTTAGTCTACTACTTTCTCTGCTCTGGACTCTTCCAGATGCCTCTGACTGTCCTCTCCCTCAGACATACAATATAAACTTTCTCCTCAACCACATCATGGAGCAGTCATATCGTTAGTTTACACATCTGTGCTGAAATCCTTGGTTGATACACAGAGTTTGGATCCCAGCACCCAGACAGCAGCTCCCAGCGTCTCTAATTCTAGTTTTAAGGGATCTGACATCCTCTTCTGTCCTCCAAGGCTACCAGGCATGCACACGGTGTACCAACATACAGGTAGGCAAACACACACATACAAATTAAAATAAAAAACATCCTCTAAAAAAAGGGAGGGAACGAGTGCTATGTTCTTTGTGGGCCATAAGTCCCCTAGCCCATGTTCTGGCTGGCTGCTTTTGTAAAGACTCGGCTCAGATTCTCATTTAGGGTAGCAAAAGCGGAGGCACAAAGCTCCGTTGCTGAGGCAGGCAGGCCTCTCCTCCCTCCAGGGCTCATCCTCATTCCACGTCTACAGGCTGCTTTCTTAGGATTCCACTGACTTTGGAAAGCGTGAATCACCAGGTCGCCCTGCCCCATGGCTGTAAGGTCAGCCTCCCCCAAATGCCACAAGCTCCTGCAAGGGAAGGCTGAGTGTCCTGCTGCCACACAATGCTGGCCACAATCAGCCTCTTAAGATGTTATTTATTGATGAAAAGGATGAAGTACAACACCTATCAGAGGATCAAAACCACAGGACTGGGTTCTTATGCGTGCGGATGTTCATGTGTAATTCAAGAATCTACTCAATTGCTACCAGCTTGCCCCTGAAGATGGTTTCTCACCCCCATCCTAGAAAAAGAAGACAATGACAAGAACACCAGCCCTTCAACTGCTATTCTGTTACATACCCAGTGCCAGGTTAGGTCACATCTGCAATTGCTTTAGGTCGGGCCAGCTGTGGGGGATGGGGGAGGTTGGAGCAGACTTTATGGCAACAACCAAAAGAGAAACATGTGCTCCGCTAGGGCAGAATCCACCACAGGCTCTGACGTCACCCTTCACGGCTACTCCAGTGGTTTGCCGCCATCCTGCTCTCTCCCACTTTAAAAGAGGCCCCATGCTTTCTGACTGAGCGCCTCTCTTCAGAAGCAGGAGCACCTCTCCTGCTGCCAAACATTCTTGGGCAGAGAGGAACACAGGGTGTTTGGCACAGTTAGAAAAAGGCTATAAACCTAAGAGCTGACAATTCCACTCTGTGAAAGATACACACAAATCAGACTGGTCCAAAGACTACAACCATTTCGTTTGTTACACATACTCTGACCAGAGTCTTCCAGGGTCCCCATGGATCCACTGCCAACACCCAAGGGGGCAAAGTCAAGACCCACACATAGTCATGGTTGAGTGACTCATGAAACGTACCACAAGTCAAGGCAATGCTGAAAACAGCAAGCAGCGTCAGCACACTCAGCCATGGTGGGTCCTGGCGGTGGGAAAGAATGGGAGGTAGGCTAGTCAGAGCTACTGAGAGCCTCTGCCCAGAGCTCACCTCTTTCAAGAGAGGCCTGTGTACTCAGAGTTAGGAAAAACACAGGAGCTTGGGGCCCATCAGACCTTCCCACTGGCCAGACAGGCAGCAGCAAGAAAATGGGTATCTAAAGGGAAAACACACCACTTTAGTCTTTAGTCTTCCACATCAGTCAACATACACTGCTGACCTCAGGGGGTGGATGGGACTCCCTCACCTTAACACCTCACACATACAAAAGCAACTGTCTATGGGTGGCACCTGACTGTCCAATGCGACTCTAATAATGCCTGTAGAAACAGTGCCAGACCCCATAGGTTGTGGGCTCAGTAGCACAGGATTGTCTCCTCCCTTCAGACACAGCTGCAAGTCACAGGTTGTCACTTATCTTTATGACAACCTATGGGCTAGGGTTCCTGCCATGAGCTCTGAGTTTAACGGCTTTCAGGATGCTCTCAAAGAATGCAGGACAATCTCTCATATGTGATTACTGGAAATTTAGCAAAGGAGTCAGGTCAACTGAAGGGTGGAAGAGACACATGGAGCAATGTGTGCAGGGTGCTGGGGGGCTTTGATGCTTTCCAGGGGTGCCAACCTCCACACACCTCAGTGTTCAGCAACTCAGTGCTGTGTACCCAGGCCTTTTGGGATTTTTATGGTAGTCTTGTTTTATGAGCAAGACGGCTTACATTATCATCTATTGGTGATCAACTCTGTCATGTCCCCTCCAGGGAGGTCAAGAGTGACACTGAAAGTTACAAACCCTTTGTTGCCTTGGTCTGGTCAGTGACTTGCCCCACCCTGAAGCTATTCAGGAGGTCACACCAGGAATCATCTCATTAAAGCAAAAGGTGTTCCTGTCACTTAGGGAGGGCAGAGACATCTTCAAAGCTCTGGAACCACGGATAAAGACCAAAAGTTACGACAGAACGGGTTTAAAATTCTGTCAGCAACCAGGGCAGGGTCCAACACACCTGTTTCTTATCTTGCAACATTACCATGGTTCCCAACTGGCAGAGTGCAGCAACTTTGCCCCAAACACCAGGCAGTTCCAGATGTCTGTGTCCAATTTCCTGTAATCTTGAAAAAGTGGAATAGACACGGGGAACTCCAGAGGGTCATAGTATGGGGAGCGATAGGCACATTCAATACAATGACAAAAGTGATAGTTTCACGTGGGTATGCATGTTCCAAACTTAGCAGATTGTCCCGTTTAAATGTAAACACTCCATTGTGTGTCCCTTACACTGAAGGAAACTTTAAGATCTTTCCTACTAAATCTGAATACTTATTGATAATAGTCTAGTAACTTCATAGTTTTGGAAGCTGAGTTTCCAGTGTTTACTTCCAAGTCGTGTGCTTCATTCTCGGCAGTAATGCCAAGGCCAGCTCCTTAGTGGCAGAGTACACGCCCCATTGTTCCCCTTCCTCCCTGACCATCTCCCCAACCCCCCCCTCCAATGTATAAAATGGATTTCCATTAAGAAATCATTTTATACATACACAACAAATTCTGGTCAGGGAAAATGCCACAAACTTCACAAATAACACCCCTAAGCCAAAGATACACACGGGCTGCTCGCATTGGATTCCCAGCATCCACATGGAGGGTTACAAATCTCTAAAACTGCAATTCAGGGGATCCCATACCCTCTTCTAGCCTCAGCAGGCCCCAGATACACATGAGTTGCATGCGTGCACGCGCGTCCACGTGCGCTCCCGTGCGCGCGCGCGCACACACACACACACGAACGCACACATGCACGCACGCGCAAACGCAAAACACAAACATACGATAAAAATACACAAATCTTTAAAAAGGGATACCCCAAGCATCCAGGAGCTCCCACCATACTTTTGGTTTGACTTCTCCCCCACACAAGCATGGACATTCAAACCACTTAGCAACACGGAATCCTGGTGGACAGAGGGTGTCTCTATTCCTGCAAACACCACCCAGCCAATTCTACAGAGACATTTTATGGTATTGTGGATGGACAAGCTCATGCATGCTAGGCCAGTGCTCTACCACTGAGCAACACTGCCTGCCTCCTTTTTATTCATTTTTTTTTAACAACAGGGACTTGCTGTATAGCCAAGGGTGACCTTGGATTCATAATCATCTTGCCTTGGCCACTCAAGTGCTGAGATAAAAACATGTCTGACATTATCCCCTTTATTATCAAAGCCACAGGAAGAGAGGGCTGGGCCTTCACCAGAAAATGCTCTGGTACAGCTGCAGGGGTCTTTGGGATCTGGAGCTGGCAGAATATGGAAATTCTGGGAGGCAGTTATTCCGGAGAAGCCCAGAAAGATGTCCTCAAAGAGCCCAGACAAGGCCACTCCTTAGCTTTGTCTTCTCCTAAGGCCTGACTCCTCAGGAGAGAAGCTGTGGTCATGAGGTCATGAGAGGAGGAGCAGCAGCCCCTCTGCCCTGTGAGGTCTCCAGCCTCTGACTGACAGCCACAGCTGGAAAGGAGGTGACTGCATGGGAAGAGAGGCCATTCCCACTTTGATTTCGTTAGTTAAGGGCCCAAAGCTTGAGACACAGAGCCCACTTCTCAAACCCCATTTTTGTACATTATTTTTTAGCATCCGTTGAGCCCCTATAAATGAGTCTAACTGCTCTCTTGCTAAAAGTAAACTAAAGTTGAAAAACCACTAAATGTGTATGTTAATTTGGAAACCTTACCACTCTGGCTCTCAGGTAAGGATTTAAAGGTGGTGCACGCCTTTAATCCCAGCACTTGGGAGGCAGAAGCTGGGCTTGAACTCACAGAGCTCTGCATGCCTGGTCTATACAGTGAATTCAAGGACAGCCACGGTTACATAGAGAGACCCTGCCTCAGAGGGGTGGGAGAGTCAAACAGAAATGAAGCCATAGTGTAGAAGAAGGAAGGAGATAATTCTGATTTGAGCAGAAGTCACAGGAGAGATAAGCTATGACTTGTGAGAAGCCAAAACTGCAGAAGATGATGAGAGGAGATATGGGGGCAACTAGCCAGAAATTTCCCCTGCTGCCCAAATCCAAGTCTTTAGGACATAGAGACACTGAGACACAGAGTACAGCCCAGTCACACTTCAAACTTTGGAGGTCCCCAAAAGAAGGGGTAGGAACAGAGCTAAGTCACAACTCAAACCCATATCAGCTCCCAGGCCTCAGGGTTCCAGAAGGGGCGTGGAGGTAAGAGTGGGGTCCGGGTCAGTGACTTACACTGTACGCATTGATAATCAGTTGAATAATATTTTTGGAGTCTCCATGCAAAATCTCCACAGTGGTTCCAGGTATCAGGGCTGTAAAATTCTTGAAAAAAAAAAAGTAAGAAGGAAAAGTTAGACCATTTTGTCATCTGTGCTGGCTAATTTATGTCAACTTCACACAGGCTAGCCATCGGAGGCATTGGAACCTCAATTGAGAAAATGCCTCCATAAGATTGGACTGCAGGCAGCCTATAGAACATTTTCTTAATTAGTGATTAATGGGGGAGGGCCATCCCTGAGCTGGTAGATCCTGGGTTCCCTAAGAAATCAGGCTGATTAAGTCATGCAGAGCAAGCCAGTAAGCAGCATCCCTCCATGGCCTCTGCATCAGCTCCTGCCTCCAGGGTCCTGCCGTCTGAGTTCCTGCCCTGACTTCCTTTTGTGATGGGCTACGGATGTGGAAGCCTATGAGCCAAATAAACCCTCTCCTCCACAGCTTGTTTTTTGTCATGGTGTTTCATCACAGCAACAGTAACGCTAAGACACATTCCACCCTATCAGAGTCAACAGTGCCCTATGGACAAGAGGAAGGGCCACACTGTGCTCTGTCACTCCCCGACACCCCATGCTGGAGGAGGTGCCATGGGAGAAGCCAGGACATTCAGTAGGCTGTAGAGGGGAGCAACGGGCTGACAGCAGGTGAGCTGTTCTCCCTCTAGGGCCCACCTGGTCCTCCCAATTCTTTTGCCACCACTGCTGGTAATCCCGGGCTCGGATGACTCTGCCTACGCTACAGGGGCACAGAAGGTACAAAGGGTGTCCTTCTAAGGACCTTTTGATGCCCGTGTGCAGGTCTCAGGACAAAGCCCTTTGCCCTAGCACAACCCCTGAGAGCTATGCTGTCAACAGGACAGAAGCCCTACCACTCTCCCCATTCTGAGGGAGGGGACGAGCCAAGGCAGATCTATTCCCAGTGATACAAAGCCCAATACGGCTCCCACAATCAATCCATTTAAAAATGCAGTTTGCAATGCACAATCTTACGGCTCCCACAATCAATCCATTTAAAAATGCAGTTTGCAATGCACAATCTTTAACCCCTGGCCTTGCACCAAACAAAAAGTATCTTTCCATTTAGTCATCTAAAATAGACTGAGGCTCAAAGCAGACCCTGAAACTCAGGAAGACATGGTGGCATTTTTATGACCGATAAGGCAGGAGCCTTTGAAACACAACCCAACAAGCATTTTTTTGGGGAATAGTTACAGATTCTTGACAACATCCCCTTCACAATGCAATGTACAGGACATCAGGAAGTGAGCTGGGTTTACACTCAGCTCACATGAGCTCTTGCTGTGTGTGTGTGTGTGTGTGTGTGTGTGTGTGTGTGTGTGCGCTGAGTATGTATGCACTCACACCTGAGATCATACACGTAGGGGTCAGAGATTAGACTGAATGTCCTCTATTACTCTCTAAAGGGCTTGAGTGCAACTTGTAGCTCACTATAATTGCCAGAATGGTGGCCCAAGTGACAAATGGGAAAAGACTTGTTGGCTTGAATAAGCCTTTCACTCTCTTCTCTCAGTCACTGACTGCTTTTAGGAGAATTACTGTCTGGGACCACCCCTGGCCTCCACCTTCTGCAGGAGGGCATACAGAGTTAGTTATGCAGGCTGTCTAATGTATTGGTTTCTTTTACAGAATTTCATTTCATGTTTTCCTTCTTGACTGGAATAGGCCTGTGTCTCTATCCATTTTCTGAAAATGACAGTTCATATGATTTTCTTATATATAAATACATATATATAGTTGTGAGCCTAACCTTTAATAACTGAGTTATCACTCCAGCCCTACAAGTCATACTATTTTCTAGGTATTTCTCTGAATTAAATTAGATAAAACAGTTTAAACATCTGGTGAACATTCATTGCCATGTGATCAGTCAAGAGTTCCCTTAGTCTTAGTATTTCCAAGCACAGCTAGAAAGGGCTATAGTGTTCTCCTCCTTTGACCCTGCCCACCCCCACTCTAATCTCCAACTGGCTTCAGGTCAGACTGAGTGCCAGATCAGGCCACCAGGCCTCCCACCCTCAGGAGTACCTTGTAGAGCATATAGTGGTTCTTCGTCACTGCAAAGATGAGATTGATGTTGTTCTCCGCCAGCTTCTCCCCAAGCAAGGCAAGCGACGGATAGTCCTAAGGCCAAGACAGATGTCAAAACTGCAACAGTTCCAACCAGCTGGATACCAGAGTGTGATCTGCAGGCATGCAGAACTTGTCCCTGAAAGCAGCTTTCCCATTGGGCCCAGTTACCAGGTTCACCAACCATCAGTGGCTCCTGAACTAAGAGGTTACAGGAAGTGATGCTCATAAAAAAGCCCTCAGGTGTTCACCTGACACCACCAAAGAGTGGGAGTGAGGAAAAGAGCATCTCTGGGTGTGATCAATATCCCCTTCATCCTTTCAGGAGGGATGGGAACCATTACAGCTCCAGGAAGATTAGCCCCACCTACTACCATCTGTCGCCAGCACCTATTAGCTTGCCTCTCTTCCTATGGCTGGCCTTGTTTCCCTTTTCCTGTGCCCAACAGTGAGGCCAGCAATGCTTGCAGGTCCTGCTCATGGCTTAGAACAGACAGAGGAGGCCACTGCTCTCTGGAATTGGAGGGGGGTGGGATCCAAGTGAGGAGAAAGGAAGGACATAAGGCAGTTTAATGAGGTCCTTAAGAATTTTAAGAGCCCCTGGTGAGTACAGGGGTCACCAAGGGGTGAGGCCTTATAGTTACAGGACCTTTCCCAAACTCCCTCACTCCTGGATAACCTGGAAAGCTTGGAGGGTCACCTCCTGAAGATGGAGAAAATGGGTTTGTCCCGCAAAGAAAATTGGGAAGAACTCCTCTCTAGCCAGGTACCAAGAGATTTGAAGAGGAAAGTATAGACTTCTTGAAAAGCCTGTATAATAAATGTGGCAAGATCTTGGTAAGTCCTGGGGCTGGGCGTCCTCTTGCTTCTATCCCAGGCTCCACACTGCCTTCAGAGCACCTCGCCCTGAGAATCACTTGGCTCCCAGGTCACCTCTTTGAGCAGTGAAATAGCTCCCAAGAGATACACAATGGCACAAAGACAACCAGCTACAGAAATTCCTGATGCGAATTAGTCAACAAGAGGTTCTAAAACCTTGTGAGAAAAGACCAAGTAATGAATAACACCGGATCCCCAGGATGTCCTGATGGCCAAGGAAGTTTTCAGGGAAGTGGGGGGGGGGTCATGGGATTACAAGGAGAGACAAGGCGGGAGCCTTCCCAGTCCTCACCATCTGGTCGGATGCAGTGTATTCATTGGCTTCGTTCAGGTGACACTGGCCATCGTGTGGTTGAACCAGGCCGCCCAGTTTTCCATCCAGCGCGATGTGAGGCACGTCATCCGTTGTGAACACCAGCAAGTGCAGTGCATCTTTTCGCCAACCGATCTTCTCCTAAAAGACAGAAGATGGAGAGTGCCAGAGCTGTCCTGTACAGACCTGCCTGGGGCATCAGATGAGACATTTCCAGGCTCTGCCCACACAGGCTCACGTGCCTAGACACCCACTCCAGCATCATCCTCTTCCCAGCATCTCTGGAAGATTCTCTTTCAGGCTCCAGGACAAGCCTGACACCACCCCAAAGCCCTCATCACATGCACTGGCTAATACAGTATAAGATGATGGTTAAACACTTCAGGCCCTACTAGACAGGAATTACTACTCTGAGTCAAGTACCCAAATGGCCAAAAGTTGGCTCTGTTTTTTGAGGATCTGGTAAGAAGTGCATCTATCCTAGTCGATGTGAACTCTCCAGACCTTGCTGAAATCACTTCAATGCCCAAAGTGAACCAGATGAGCTAATTCTCCTTTACCATTGCACTACATGGGATTATCTAGTCTGCAAACTGAGGCTCAGCTCAGTGCATGGCAAGGGGAGGGTTCAGTACTGCACAGATACAGTCACTTTAGCCACAACCTTATACGAAAACACTCAGGAATTACCATCAAGAACTGGAAAATACGGTCACTGTAGGGTATAGCCTGGCTTCCCACAGCCAGGATACCTTTCCCTTCAGAGCTGTAACATTTACAGTCACCCTTTTACTACTGGTGAAAGGGCATCCCAAAATGTATTGATGACAGGAAGGATTTAAACTCTGCCAAGAGTTAGCTATGCCACACATTAAACATGGAACTCGAGGAGGTGGGATTCATAGATCACATAGATGAAAAGCTATTGTTCTTTCAATGGCAGATGAGAGGTTGGATACCACTGTCTTTCCCTCATCATCACCTGAACAACTATGATACTGTCTTTCTTACTTCAAAAGCAGCACGGCACAGAGAAATATATCACAAAGTCAAACAAATCAAGGAAGAGGAAAAGATTCAACAGAAAGGCAGAGAAGATCAGCTGTGGCAAGAATGGTCACCTACCAAGGAGTCAGTTTTGTAGCCATGTAACTTTTGTCCAATAAGCAGCTACTCACCTCCTGCTGTGTGCCAGATCCCTTGGACATTACCAGATCTACAAAACCTAATTCTAGCTCTTAAAGATACCCCATTTGTGAAAACAGCAGTTTCAGCTTACCATGTGGTTATTAATAAAGGCAAACACAAGGTTAGTGGAAGCCGGGGAGGGGAGGAGGAGGAAGAGGAAGAAGAGGAAGACAATGATAATGAAGAGGACTAGGGGATGACTATCATGATGGGGGAGGAGGACAAGAGGATGACTGTGATGATGAGGAGGAGGAGGACAGGAGGCTAACTATGATGAGGATAAGGATATAGAGGAGGAGGAAGGCTGAGGTGGGGAAAGGCCTTCCAAATTTGGATGAAACTCAAGCTGCTCTGGAAGGATGAAGGGAAACCCTTCAAGGAAATGGAAAGAAGAAATAAGGAAGGGAGGACAGAAAAGGAAACAGGCATTTTAGGCACTGGCAAAAAGACAGAAAGGAGCACAGGAAAGAGACCCCCACAGACCGGGGAGCTGGAGTCCCCTCAAGGCTATCCCAGGACAAGCTAGTCATGGGACAGGACTGGAACGAGGCTTTTCTTGGTAGCATAGGAGAAAGCTATAGCACGGCTGTGGGAACACCAGACCTTGAGCAGAGACCCACTTCCCCTTCTGCCTGGGAGTAGGCAGCTGTAAGACAATGTTTAGTAAAAACATGTTTACTAAAAACGATACAATAAGTTCCTGGCCACTTCCCCTTCTGCCTGGGAGTAGGCAGCTGTAAGACAATGTTTAGTAAAAACATGTTTACTAAAAATGATACAATAAGTTCCTGGGAAAGGCCTTCCTATGGAAACCGCCCTGACCTCGACCTTGTCCAGAGACTAACTGCACCTTCAAAAACCCACACACATCCACCTCTGGTGTCAGAACAGAACCAGCCAGGGGAGAGGAGAGAGCAGAAGCTTCTCTGGTGGGAGCTTTTCTTAGGAAGTTTTTCGTGAACCTTTTTGGAGCCTGTTTAAAGTTTTCTTTATATCATTGAACGAGTCTCTGTGTTTTCAATACCTGACACCCTCCGCACGTTCTCGGTTCTCGGACACAGGCCGCGCAGCAGACGTGACAATTGGAGGTTCCACCGAGATCGTGAAAGCGAGGTAAGTGGACAGGGTCGTCCTTTTTGCCAGCCAGGGACAGATGGAGGAAAATAGAAAAAGAAACAATGGGAAATAGTCCCTGGAAGTTTAAATTACAGTATCACATAAAAAAGTTGCTTGAAGAACAGAGGACTACAACCATGGCAGGCTTTTTAAAATGGATTGAACGAGGGAGCCCATGGTTCATTCCTGGGGAAGGCTTAAATGTCCCAGATTGGGAGGATGTTTGCTATGATATTCAGAGAGCCGGGTGTTGGTGGCATACGCCTTTAATCCCAACACTCGGGAGACAGAGATAGGAAGGAATGAGGCCATCCTGGTCTATAGAACAAGTTCCAGGACAGCCTCCAAAAGAATAGAGAAAAACCCAGTCTCAAAAAAAAAAAAAAAAAAAGAAAAGAAAAAAAGGGTAAAATAAGAAATAAAATAAAAAATCTCCAGTCTTTCGCCTGATCCACTGAGGTCAGGAAAGTAAAGGGGAACTGAGAGATCTAAAAGGCTGGCCAGTAAGGCTATGCGGATGTGTTAAAAAGGGGTACCAAGCTAGGGATACCAGATTAAATCTCCAGGCCTTCGCCTGACAAAGGTCAGGAAAGTAAGGGGACCCTAAGAGATTGCCCTCAGATGGGGGGTGGATTGGATTAAATCTCCAGGCCTTCACCTGACACCAAGGTCAGGAAAGAAAGGGGAACCTGAGAGATCACCCTCAGTTGGAGGATGGATTAAAAGTGAGTAAATTGAAAATTGGTAACAGTTAATAAAGGAGGTACTGGTATTAAGTAAAAAAAAAAGAAAAAGACAAAGGTATATGGAATGAAAAATTTTGTTTACATTTAAGTTCTATTTTGTGAGTCATCTCTAAAAACTTTTGGCCAAAAGCCTGGCCTCTCTACCTTGCATCTACAGAGTTACAAGGAGTAGGTACGGCTGTACCCCATGACTGTAGCTCAAATGGAGGAATGATAAAAACATATAGGACTTTTTAACCTTTTTAGTTCAAGGATTGGCTGGAGTTGTTCTTTTACATAGATTTCAATTAAGGAAGCTTCATTGCAACAGACTAATCATGACCTAGGGAAAAAGGATGACTGAAAGATGCATGTATGTTCTGAATGTATGGTGTGGCCACACCGGTATGTATGAAATGTGATTGCGAATGTGTGAGTGTGAACTGCTTATATGATTAAAAGGATACTTAAATCCCTTCAAAAATAGTTAAGAAGCTACCTAGATTGCGTTAAATATAGCCAAAAGGAACATCCAGCCAGTCTGTTAATGTTTTAACAGAAAAATTTAAGATACAAATGAGGCCTTGTCAGCTAGTGAGAGTTCTACAGGTTAGATTGGGAAAGACTGCTCACAGACTTCAAATAATTTTCAAAAGTTATTTAGTAAGCCCAATTTACCTAGATAGTTAACCAAGGAGGGTAGACAAATCCTTCTACTGTTATGGTCCAGCTTCAACAGTTCAAAAAGAAAACTTTTTTAGAAAATAAAAAAGGGGGAATAATGCCCCCAGTCCCCACATGACTCATCAAATAATACACTCCTCATTTAAAAATTTTATAATGTGAATGCCAGTGAGCTTCAGACAGATTCTGGCATGATGGAACTTGAGCAACCATTGCTCAGGTCAAATGGAGACATCCATACACTAGACAGTGGAGAAGACCCTAATTTGGGGTCGAGGGCATGTTTGTGTTTTCTTGCAGGAAAAGAATAAAGCTTCGGCAGCTGTCAGACCATTTAGTGAGATGCATGGAGCAGAGAAAAACTGGACCTGAGACCATGGGAGCCTACCTAAGCCAGTTTGAGTGAGATCTCCTAAATCAGTGTTCCTGACCCTTGATGTCATCGAATCTACAGCCCAAGAAAGAAAGAAAACAGTCGGTTCGAGATTTCCAGTTTCTCAACAGACCTGCTGCATCAACCTTCCGGACCCATGAGTTTTCATCATGAAGCCAACAGAGAAAAAAGGACCCATTTAAAGCATTTGGACATTGGTATGGACTATGATGAGTGGCAAAAGCCTCTTTCCAAGATTTGAACAGGACATGGTCACTTGATGGTTCCTATTTCTGGAATCACGACTAGGCCAGTGTATTTTTCTGGAGAAATGCAACTTGTCCTAATGCGACAACTATTGTTCATATTTTTTCATAATGCTACATGTGTAACATCAATGATTGTGCCCAATGTATCTGTGCAAGTGCACTTTCTAAATGCTTTCCTGAGCAGATCTTAAAACGATTGGAAACTTTATCAAATTGTAAATGTAAATCACATGCGGGTTACCCTTGTAACAGATGAAGGCTGGTAGAATGTTATGGCCCAGATCTGGTGATGGGTATGGTAATGGAGAGGCGCTATGTCAATGGGGGTCCTGGAAATGGTGGCAGTGGCGGTAGGCATTCTGGCTTTATGCCGAGCTCAAACGTGCCTTGTTCCAGAGACAAGAGATCCGTAACCAAGTATTGCTTAGCTTAGCCCATGGCAATCCCGATAGCCATGAAGGTTGGTTACAGATGATTTAAGGTTGGGGTATCTCCGATGACGGGCAACCTGTGGGGAAGACCCCTCCCACCTAAAACAGGGGTTCAAGGTCCCCCAAAGACGGGAAAGGGAGGGTGACCCTACTTGACCTAAGCCAGGAGTGCCTCATTTGAAAATAAAAAGGGGTGAATTGTGGGAACACCAGACCTTGAGCAGAGACCCACTTCCCCTTCTGCCTGGGAGTAGGCAGCTGTAAGACAATGTTTAGTAAAAACATGTTTACTAAAAACGATACAATAAGTTCCTGGCCACTTCCCCTTCTGCCTGGGAGTAGGCAGCTGTAAGAC